TTTTTTGATCGTTTCTTGAACGTTTTTTGTCGGAAAAATAATGTTTCTTTTATCGTTTTTCGGATTGACATTTTAACCAACGAGAACTTTTTAAGAACCGTTATAAAATGTTTCGAAGGAATATTTGTGAAACGTTTCTGAAAAAAACATGTGCTATCTGGGGTACTTTAATCTTTAGAAAAATCTCTAAAATTTTATTAAATGGTTTATTTGACAAACATGCATCACCCAACCTGACCCGGCCAATGTTCTTGCTGGTCATCCATATATGTTCGTCAATTATTCTCTTTGTTATTTATATTTACCCACAAAGTACTTTTCAAGTTTCGCAGTTCGCAGTGCATAAAAAACACGCAGTGTGTGAAATTGTTCCTGGTACAACGATCTCTGACGCAATTTTTCACATGTAACTTTTTGAGGTATATTTGTTCCCAGTAAACGAGAAATTATTGAAAGTTCAGAAATAGGATTGAAAATTATTGAGAAGAATTAAATAAAATTCAGCATCATCGTAAATAAATTCTTCTCGGTAATTTTTAATCCTATTTCTGAACTTTCAATAATTTCTCGTTTACTAGGTCATATGCATAAAAAGCTCTTTATGATGAAATCAAAATGAGCTCAGAAGTCGACGCATCCGAGTACATTATGAGCACGTTCTAACCACCTTCTGATCTAAATTTATCAACTCAGAAAAATTTTTGGAACTCTTTAGGAGTATTATATGAGGTTATCATGCTGTCTGGGTAGTATAACTTCCAAGTCACATATTATAATTCCTTTTTCAATTTTATTATTAATCTTATTATGCAACAATTTTATTATTGTCTTTTTAAGATAAAATAGGAATTGTTACGAGAAAAATAAATTCAGAAAGTATTTCTATTAAATTAATAATTCGAACTCATTAATTGTTTATAAATTGTTTATAAATCTACAATATTTTATAAAAATAGATAAATATCAACAATTACAACACTATACTACACTATAATATACCATTAATGAATTTTATCTACTTCGCATTATAAATTGCAGAATTCAGAATAATGTAAGTATAATAATTACTACTAAAAAAAAAAAACTTCGAATCGGAGCTACAAAAAAAAACAGTCAATAATAATAAAGAACTAAACATAGAGTACCTTACTTGAGGTACTCTAACTAAACAGAACATCGCCTGACATCTAGGTAGGATCTTTAGCAATCATAAGACTATCATAAGATTGATTATTCATAGATTGAATTGGAAAGCTATTTGTAGCGTTATATACTGCCATGTGCAGTATGGTTGGGTTGTTTTTCATTGTTTTCTCGGTGCATGCTCAATACAGATTCAGTACAGTTTCACTGTAGCTGACTGTAGCGTCAGTGTAGCTAGATATAACCTGCTTTGTGAAGATTTATAAAAGAATTTAGGTTATTGTTTGCAGTATCATAACTATTTTCCGGTAGTATTTGCTCTTTGCAGTTGTTTTTTACATATTTCTCTACCTTTTTCTTGATTATTTATTCATCTACTTCATTTTGCAATGCAGTTACAAGATACAATTTTTGGCCAATAAATTACACATATATTGTTTTGTATCTAAAGTTACAAAGATTTTTTGAAGATAAATCAGTCACATGCTTAGCTAAAGATTTTTTAAAAAAATCTAGAGAAAGTGTTTTTCTGCTCAGATATTGTGTGTAGTTCAAATTAATTTATTGTAAAAATGTCAGTTTGGAGAAATGCCAGTTTGGAGAAATCAGTTACTGTAAAAGAACCGATTACACATAAGAATCAGAAGGTAAGATAAAATGTGATAAATACACAAGCAACATAGAAATAAACTATATAGATAAGTGAATAATATATTATTAAAAAAATGACTTTAGTTAAATAAATATATCTGAAAGAATGCTTATATTTTTAAAATAGGATTATGAAGTATCAAAAACTTCTACACCTCAAGTACAAACTGTGATTACATGTCTTAATGGTCAAGGTAATATTTATGAATATTTAACAATTTACTACAATAATATAATAAATGAAATCGTTTAGATGTTAAATTTTTAAATATAGTTTCAGGCCTTCCTACTACAGCCAGACCAATAAAGGTAATGAGTATACATGATCCACATATTATGAGAGTTTATGAGCTTGGAAAATATGAACAAACATTGGAGAAACTTATGACAAAATTGTGGACCTTTTTTGTAGAATTAAAAAAAAAAAATCAGTCAAAAGAAAACGATGCCAAAATTGGTGATGTAAGTTTTATATGAAATGCACTAATGCATTTAAATTTTACTTATCTGAACAATTAATATTGTACATATATAGATTGCATTTTATTTAATGCAAGAGATAATTTACTTTTTTTATTTTTATTTTGCAGATGGTTTTTATCGTACGTAGCAATTACAATCCTGAAATATTGCCAACATTTATTTGTAGAGGTGTAATAACACATATTAAAAAGGACAGTGGAATGTATTATGTTCTTTTAGTGGATCATGGTACTACCGTCGAACTGACTAAAGATAAATTTTGCATAGTTCCACAAGATTTTATTTCTGATAATAAGTATTTAACCAAAACAGTTGGTGTGCATAATATCTTGCCAACCCGTGTAAAAAAAAACGAAAAAGGCTTTGATAATTCCAAGCCTGCAGTAAAGTAAGATATTTTTATCAATTATAGTTGTCTTCTTCATATGCAAAAACATTATTCAAGAAATGTTATTTAAAGTATTGTAGCGGAATGGAGTGAAGAAGCAATTCAGTTTACCAAAAATGTTTTGGTAGCATCTAAGATTGTATATTTTGATCACTTGCTTACGGATGAAAAGAATGATAGAGAATATGGAGAGTTTTATTGTGTTATTGATGATGATGTTATAACATTAAGTAAAGCTCTAATCATTAATTATCATGCAATATACTTGGAAAAAGGTACGTAAATATTGTAATGAGATTGTAATGAGATTTTCTTAGATTATCTTAGATTAAACTTATTAAAATAGATTTAACATTCAAGTAACATGCAATGTGTCATAATATGATTGTATCTGATAGATTTATTACAACTTATTGATAATCCAAGTAACACACAGCAAAAAGAAAATACAGGAGAGCACATTATACATACAAAATTTTCAAATAATATGGAAAACAGTCCATCAATGCGATTTGTTAATGAATTTAGTAATTCTCTCAATGATTTCTGTCTTAGGTGAGAATACCTTTATGTGATTAAAGATTAAAGAAAATAATTTATATCTGTTACGTTTCACATTGTTTTTTGTTTAATTAGTGAGAAAATTTTAATACATGGCACAACAAATTGTGGAGTCTTCAATGATATTAGTGATCTTAATTATCCTAGCAAACTACATGAGGTATGTAATCCAGTAGATATATTTGGTAATTAATTGATTAAGCATATAATAAGAATATGCAGATACAAAATACAGCATGCTTTTCTATTTAGAGTTGGCATATATATATGAAATCTTTGCGACCAACAAAACTCCAGTCTTATATGTGGCCAGCTATAAACAAAGGATTAAATGTTGTTGGAATTGGGTCATCTCAATGCGGTAAAACTAGTGGATGTGTAATGGCTGTGTGTGGCTTGGTAGCTATGCGCCAAAAGGTAATTTCTTTTGTGTTAGAAAATTTAGTACCTTTAATTAATTATCAATCTTTTTAAATCTTAGCATAAACAAATTAATTTTTGCACTTGTTATCAATGTTAGCATTTATAGTTATAATTTCTTATAATTTATATAAATTAATGATATAATATTTATGTAAATATTAAACTTTTTAGGAATTATCACGTAGTACAACTCCGGCACCATTGGCACTAATTTTATGCTCATCGTCTTTCGAAGTGATAAATGTTCATTCTTTATGCGCGTCATTTCTGTACGCTTTGAATGATGTTAAATCAGTAGCAGCGGTTACTGGCAAAACAGACAGATCAATTGCGGTATATTATCTTTATATTTAATATATTTAGTATTTTACAAAGAAAACGCGAGAATTGCAAGATTAATAATTTTTGTTTTTTAGGCAGCAATGTACAGTGGCTGTCAAATTTTAGTCAGCACACCACGATATCTAGTTCGATTCTTAAATAACAATAAAGGTCTATTGTCATTTGATAGACTTTTTTGTTTAGTTCTTGATAATGTCGATGTAATTTTGGATAAATATTACAATTCGGTGAGTAAAAACTTGGATTATAATTAACATTTTTTTTCCACTGGATGGTTTATAGTATATTGAAATATTTTGACAGTTGGGAGTGTTATTTAAGAAACATAATATAATAAAAAATCGTGAACCACAAGGAGACAATAGACCAATACTGCAAACAATTATATCAGCAACTAAGTGGACATCTGAGATAAAGAAATTCGTACGCTTGGTAATGTGCAATCCGTATATCTGCATTGCATCATTTTTAGAAGCGGTTGTTTTCAAATCTGTGCGCCCAAAAGTGTACAAATTGAAATCCACATACAAAAATCAAAAAATAGCAGGTAAAAAAACTATATACATATAGTAGTTATGTATAATTTAGCTGCACCAATGTTGATTAATTATAATTGAAAAAATACATATTTTTGATAAACTATTTTAATTTTAGATATATTAAAAAATGATTACAAGGCATTAAAAACAATGATAATATGTATAAATGCCGAAGAAGCAAAACAACTAAATGCTTCTTTACTTTCAACAAAGGAAACTTTGTTGGTTCACGAAAATATGACGTGTTTTGATGTAGAAGGTATGTAACAATGATATTTTAATCGCATTAAACGCAAATTATATTATTCTATTATTCTTTACATTTATTAACAGTTAATGATGTGTTTTTTATTTTCTTTCTAATCATTAATTCATATATTTTGTAGCTTTGAGAACAAATTGGGAAGCGTGTGTACGTGGCTTGTATCCGGTATTGATATGCACTGATGCAGTTTTATCACAACTTAATTGTATTGATATTGAATGGCTAATACATCATTCTGTACAGCTAAAATGGAAAAATGCATTTAACTATAGATTCTCTGTACTTTTAAAAGATTTGACACAGGTAATCACTAAAATAGATTTTGAAAGTTAAAAATATAAAATTTTAATATTTATATTTAAATATTTTGCAAATAATATTACTGGCATCCAACTACTTAAAAATTTAAGGACACTACCAATAGTAAAGTTAGCATAATTGTTGATGAAACCAATAATGTACAACTTTCAAGTATAATAAGTCTAATGCAACGAATGAAGGTTGTGATAACTCCGGAATTACTAGAAAGTATCGAGGTAAATCAACAAAATATTATTAAACAAAATCAATTTATCGTATTTTTTTAGTTGCTTATAAAAAGTATAATTTCAGCGAATAGCAATTGCGCTCGAGAGAGATAAGAAATACTATGCTTTATGTGATAATGTGAAATCATTTGGTTTTTGTCAAAGCAAAAATGTGTGTGAATTCAGACATTGCATACTTCCTAAAATTGATGCGCCAATTACAAACATACAGATGTAAGTAATTTTCTATTATTCATTCTGTTATTCACAACATTTCACACGATCTTATTTTTACAGTAATGATAAGGTGAAACTGATAGTAAGGTATATACATGATACAACGCATTTTTCTGCGAGAATAATCGACCATATTCCACAATCGAATGAGTTCAAAAAAATAACATTTTCCAATGTAGAGTATATGCAAATAACATGTAAAATGCAACAATACTATCAAAATATTGAAAATAGGTATGTATTACATCAATTAATTCCACAATTTTCTTAACATTATTTGTTCCTACACTTTTTGAGATTGTTTGTGGTTTATTTTCTTAACAATTATATTACAGAAAAATGTGTGCTTCTACAAATATGGGTGATATCTGCGTTTTAGAAGAATCTATTGATATATTTAAACGAGTGCAAATTAGGCGCGTCAGATTCATTAGAACTACTTTTGAAAATGCGAAATTCGTAGATGTGAGATGCATCGACAGCGGTATTATACACGAAAATATTGACGTAAGATTACTACTGTACAATGCTTATAATCACATCCTACATTAAACATGTTACTTTAATTAAATGATGTTTAGTGTGTTAAATGTGAGATGTGAATATAAACCTAAGCAGTTCTTTTTCTAGTTTTTGTTCATTATATAAATGTATTATTTTATATTTTAGGCACGTAAGTTACTGGACATACCAGAAGAGTTATTAAACCTTTCGACGCACATAGTTGAAGTATTTTTAGCTGGCATAGCGCCATATGATGAGGAATATACATGGAACCATTTTACCAACGAAGCAGTTCACAAATGGTTCTCGGAAAATTTTGACGAAAGGTCTTATATTATCGGCAAGGTAAGTTTATATCAAAATAAGAAAAAAATATGAAGAAGAAAATACGCAAAAAAAATATGCAATTAGAGATAAGATTGTAAAAAAATGAAGCTCTATCTAGTGAGATTTGCGAGATTTCCTTGTAAAAGAATGCAATAACGTATTACATGCAAATATATCCACAGGTTCGTCTTCATCTTGGGAATACAATATGGTTAGATGATTTCGAAATTGGAACAAAGTTAATCAATCATGCTGACGTGAAAGGAGCTTCTTTGAGAAAAGAACTGATCAATGGAAATTTTGCAGTTCTGAATGATACCCATATACCGAATCTGCTCAAACTTTATAAGAACAGTGAGTTAATAGAAGTCAGTAACAAGCCATAAGTAGCTATTGATAGTATCAATCAGTGTTTTAACAAGATCACCCGATAATATTGAGTTATATAATAAATAATTTCTCATTTTTAAAGTAAATCCATCTACTTTTTTTTGTCAGGCAAAGCACAGTTTAATAAGACGTAAATTCAATAGCATTTGAGCACTTCAGAGGTATACTACGAGGGCTGTATGATAAGTACCCGTGTTAGAGAAGAAAACGCATTTAAAAAAAATTTTACTTATTTTTCAACATAGTCTCCTTTCAGCTCGATACACTTAATCCAGCGATATTCCAACATTTTTATACCATCCAAAAAATATGATTTGTCGAACTCCGCAAAATAGGCCTCTGTTTCGGCGATGATTTCCTCGTTTGACGTGAACCGCTTTTCGCCAAGCCATTTTTTCATGTTTGGAAATAAATAGAAATCGCAGGGAGCCAAATCTGGAGAATAGGGTGGATGAGACAGCAATTCGTAGCGTAATTCGACCAGTCAAATAGTGCTTCGAAGTTGTCATGCGATTCCGTTTTTGTTCCACTGTGAGCAAACGCGGCACCCATCTCGCCGATAGCTTTCTCATGCCCAATTTTTCGTGTAGGATATTTTGTACGCGTTCAATTGAGATGTTTACAATGTCAGCAATCTCTCTGATCTTCACCCGGCGGTCTGCTAACACGATATCATGGATTTTGTTGACCATATCCTCCGTAGTCACTTCAATCGGACGACCTGGGCGCTCTTCATCAAAAACGGATGTTCGGCCACGCTTAAATTCATTGAATCAATATCTGATGGTAGTCATCGAAAATGCATGGTCCTTATAAACGACATGCAACTTCACTTTGATTTCCTCACACGTCTTCCCATCCAAAAAAAGGAATCGAATCACTGACCGATATTGCTCTTTTTCCATGGTTGCAAACAAACATAACCTTGTCCACTTTTAACAGTTGTCAAAACAAAACTACTCGATAAATCTGTTTGAAATTTTGACTGGCGTCGTTTAAAAGATGACGTTAAACGATGGTATACAGACTTTGAGTCAATGATGCTTTCTGTCGTTAAACACGGATACTTATCATACAGCCCTCGTATATTAAGTCACACAAACATAATTTTTCAGGAGAAGGATTTAAAGAGATTTTTCGCTTTTGATATGCTTTCAGTAAAATACTTAATGTTTTGCAGAGTTTTTTGTATTTACAGATATAATATCAAATCTTCGATAATTTCATAACTTTATAACTTTATTTTCTAAAATTTAGAAGTTTAAAATTTTCTAAATTTAAAAAATAAAGTTGTATGATTACAAAATATGATTTTAATGTGACTTAATACTGTTGACCTGATGAATGTGACTTAACTTTATACAGTCAACATTTGTTCAAACTTTATACAACAACAGTGCGCATTTGTTTGTCGAAGTTGTAATCAAGTTCCACTCGTATCATTACTTTTTCATATTGTAAAAGTGAAAATGCTGCTTAAAAACCATGACATCATTTACTGAAAGATACAAAATTATAACTTATAACCCGGGAAGACCCGGGTTCAATTCCCGGCTTAGCCACTCGCGCCCTGATATTTTTTCTCTCTTCCTTTCTTTCTAATAATTCCTATCAGTACATACTGATTCTTCATATGTGAGAACAATGTACTAAAATTTTCGTACACTTTAAGTATCTCGAAAGAGATCGGTGTACAAATTTAACTGTCTCACGTAGACTAACAAATTAATTTCTTTAAGAGAAATTATAATTTCGTACTAACATCCCGCGACGGCTCTCTATGCTTTTCTATTATATTATTTGATAGTTATTATAACTTAGTTTCACACAATTCATTACACATTTTTTGATATACATTTATAAGATAAAATTGTTATTGTATATTTTTATTTTTATATTTCTTTTTTTTTATGCTTTTAATATAACTTTTTCGATAGTACTGTACGTCATAAGTCATATGAATCATAATGAATGAGAAATATCAACTTCTCAGAAGAAAATACACAAATTGTTTTAACTTTATTTTAATTTTTTTACTCGTTTTAACCCTCTTAAAACTTCATAGAATAAAATTTGTTTGAAACAAAAAATTTCGCTACTCTCTTTTTCAAATTTATTCAAAGTTTGCATATAAAAACTAATAAATTTTTCTAATTATTATGAAATATTGATAAAAAATGCTTGGAAAAATTTTTTCAAAGTTTGAACAAATTGTTATTGATACTTTGAAACGAGAAATATTTCTGCTTTAATAATACTTATTATATCAGCGTCTTTATTTTCCAAGTGAAGTAGTAAGTCTAAAATTAGAGATTTTAAACTTATAGAAATGTGCTCTGAAGGATTGTCTGCATCTAATAAACAAGTTGTGTAAATCTAATTTTATAAATAAGCCGCTGGGAAAAGTACAAAGTTGGAGGAGTAAACGATAATAGATAGGCAGTTCAAATGCAAAACATTGATTTCCCAACAATTTAGAAATCAAGAGACATGGTCGTGTCTTGCGCCAAGTTTTGAATTTTGGAAATAAGAGGCTCATATGTTAAGCGTTGCAATAAAAAATTATTGCATATAATTAATAAAGTTATTTCTCTATTATTATAAGTACGATACGAGGGGGAAAAGACAATTTTTTGGGAGATGATAGCATCATCAAGTCAATCAAGTAAAACAATTAATACAAAACTTATGTCTAATTTTTTGCGGTTATTGAAATAAAATTTCTGTTAAAAGCACAATATTTTATTTTTTAGTCTTTCTATAACAGGGTTGAAAATATTAGTAAAATAAAACTAAAAAATAATTGCTTTTAACACTGCAGCTATTATATTATTTTGGATGCTACTACTCTCAACATATAATCTTAGTATGAGTTAGATGCACTGATGGAAGAATTTTTGAATATTTTTTACAAACTGCTACAAATCTGTAATTTGTTTGCTGTACATATTTATTAGTATGTAATACATGTATGTTTGTTTATTACTATTCATATTGGTTTCGAAATACCAAAAAGAGATTTAGACCAAAGAGATTTAGACCAAAGAGATTTAGACAGTTCATACTTTGCATAATACAGTACTTTCCTTTTTTATTCCTTAAATAATATTGTTTTCCTTCCTGAATCCCTTATGTATGTAATTAATAGGTTTTGTATAATTATATATAATTAATAAGATTTGTTTACAATGTATTTCTGTTCTTGCAATAAATTTTCATTTTATAAAATAATTAATACCGGAAAAATTAATTCAACACAACATTAATTTCTATTTCTTTTTATTTTTTCTCTTGTGGAAATTTACACACCTGTCAAAGTATTTTTGACCGAATATTAATAAATTAATCCTTGGCGGTATACCGGCTTCTCTTAATATTTCAAGTCGTTGGCGCAAACTTTCCTTATTGTGATGAAAAATCCGTGGATAACATAGAATTTTGTCATTTGTTATACCGTTCTCTTGTAGCATATGAATCACTTCATTTAATTGGTGCACATTCACTCGTAAGAGAAGCGGCGCCTTTATAATTGCTTTATCAAGAGAGTTTTCATCCGCATTTAGTTTACTAATCAAGAAATCTCTAACATTTTTATGCGGTCCTAATAAATCTCGTTCTGCAATTTTCTTTTTTACAAACCTGTGTAAGAAATATAAATTGAAATACAGTTAATATTTTTGTATTTTTTACATAAGCAGACTTTATATTCATAGATTATATATTATTTTTGTTACTTTTATGTGATTGTTACATACTGTTGGAATTGTTGCTCGGACCATATTAACGCAGGAATCTTCGGGGTAAGACCTTCTTTCTTGAACATTTCAAGTCGGTTCTGCACAGTTTCTACGTTAAAATAAAAGATTCTTTCATACTGTAATATTTCATCGCTAGTAATTCCATTATGATGCAATATGCTAATCAGTCGATCCAATTTTGTCAAGTTTATCCGCAAAATTTTTGGCCATTTTGTTAAAGCAAGATTGAGAGTTGTTTCGTCAATTTTCAATTTACGCATCAAATATTCGTTAACGGTTTCATGATTCCGCAAAAAGTTGTGTTTTATGTGATTTTTTTCAATAGCCCTATAGATAGATTAATAATTTTACATCATTATATCTCTCACAAGGAAAAAAAAATGAAGATATTTTTCTACATTTTATTTTGTTAGCCTACCTTGCTATAACTCTAAGTGGGCATCTTATAGCCCATGTTTTTATCTCTAAATTTCCCGCATCTTTATACAACTCACATCTATGACGAATGTGATTTTCACTATATCGAAGTACCCATAAGTCCTTTAATATATGCTTGTTGCTTATATCATATTCTGCAAAATAGGTTGCTTAAAAATTAATTTACATTTTTATACATAATTTACCTTATTAATTAATTTTTCTTACCATTTAATATGTTCAATTTCTTTTCTATAGAAGAAACTGGGGTTTTTAGTAAGAATGAATACTGTACTGTAATTTCACATAACTGTTGTATGGTACACTGAAAAGAGATATAATTTTGTACAGCATTTATCTTCTGTGTAAAATCATATAATGTAACATTATATTAATATTTGTTTGCACAGATATCAATATATTTGGCAAATAATCAAACTTTTAGAAATCTTTCATACTTTGAATACGAGTCTTTTACAAGTCTTGTACAAGAAACAATGATTTTTTTATAAGATATCTCAACTTTATAAAAGATATTGTATAATTTGCATATAATTATAATTTAATGTTTTTATATTAAATTTATTTTTACCTCTAATCTATGTGCAAGATATTCAATCTTGTTGTATCTTGTGTAGGAATTCGTATCACATTCGGTCTGATGTACATAATTTGTTAATTCATCTTGAGTCAAACGTAGCCATGGTACAAGTTGATCATTATCCATTTTAAGAACACTAATAGAATGCAGCTTATTTTTGAGTTTATTGCTATCATGGGCTAACAACCAGCTGTTCTTCACAATAGTGCTTTTTTGTATACCAGCCTCAAATAGATTATAATAATTCTCCAGAATATTTGCTCTAGACTTCTTTTTGAGATGTGGATTGTCTGTAATAATTTTGTTAGCCTGATATGTTGTCACATTCAATAATTCCTTGAGAGTTTGCACCATAATCCGCAACACAGGCTGGTAAATTTTCTGATAATCATCATAGTTTGATATCTCGCAAGTATGATCTAATATATCTTTACTGTTGTGCGATAGTCTCTTTTGCAAAGCAAATTTGGTAAAGGTTAAACACTTTCTCATATGTAGCAAAGCTGGTTTCAGAAGCTGCAATTGCAACTGATGCTGAGGTTGCAATAGAAGATTTATAATTACTCGCTGTGTCAAATATCTAGCCATAGTCTTATCTTGTAAAATAAAGTTACGTTTGTATATTTTTAAATCTATCATAAATTATATTTTTATCAAATATTTTCTATAAAAAATATTGTAGAACTTTTAGTTTGCACGATTTTAGGTTATAAATTGTAACTTGTATATATTTAAGATACAAAATTATTTAGCAATGCCATTTTGTATTGTATACACTTTCAGCCCTCAAATATAGTATTTCCAGATGTAATTTGTGCACTATTTGTTATTATTTCTTAAATATTTTTAAATCACATGATGCAACATTATTAAATCATTTTTCTCAATTGCCGCTAAACAGACACTAATCAACACTGATGATACTGCGAGTTGCAGTCCACAACTAAACACAACTGCAGAAATCATGTTTTCTAGCACGATTGCATTTTGGCTACGTAATACCATGCGTCACTGTTAGATGGCCTCTGCTGTCTCTCGAACTTGAATAGTCGAGTAATCATATGTTATGCGTGTTATTAAATTTCAATATAATTTTCTTTGCAACATAAACCACGCGAGATCTATTTTTTTATGTATACCTTAAGATTCAAATAAATTTTTATGCCAACTTGTTGTCATGTTATGTTCCCAATTTTTGTTAAATTTTTATCACAAATTTTGCCATTATCACTGAATGACAAGTCTAATAAATTAATTCGGTCATTTCTTTTTGCTGAGATAGCTTATAATAAATATTTTTTATTCTCAACAAACTTGACAGTAGGCAAATTTTTTTCCGATGATTCATATTGTTTAGAAAAATATAATAAATAGAAGTTACATAGTTTCATGTTCTTTCTTATGTCTCTCTTGGTCCATCTGGATTTGTACATTTTTCATAGAAAAAAATTATTGGTATAGAATTAGCCGCAAATCTTATGCAAATTGTGTTACGTGCTCACTGGCTTGGTACCGGCTCAGCTGAGTGGTCGTAATGCCGATAAGCCGATGTCAAACAGCGTGTCAGGGCCGCGTGTGCACAGGCGTTTCAGCGCCGATCCTTTCTCCTTCACCTGCCAGTCGCAAAACGTCGGCGTCGCGTATCGCTTCAAAAGTTTCGCGGTTTGATAGTACGCAGATGCGAGAAAATCTTCGGTAAAAATTCATTAACTTTCAGTTCAATTTGTTCAAATTAAAATTGGAAATCCTAACACATCATGTTCACATTTATGTTCACAATGCGAGTTTATGAATTCATAGCCAGGACGTGTTACGAAACCATTCGCAATTTGTATAATTACCGGAATATTCACGTTACAACGCAGAAGTCTGTTTGCTCGCAGCAGACAATAGTGTTGAATCAATATCTATGTCGACATATTGGTATTTTGCATTAACAATGCTTGTTTACACAACATGCAATTATTAAACTATTTTAAAATAGTATGTAGAAAATGTCACTTAAATATTTCAAGATTAGAACCGAAAGTATTGATATTTTACTAAATGCAATAAATAGATCTTTCTGTTGAATTTGGTTTTCTATATTATCTTTTCAAAATGTTACCTAATTTTGCGGTTAAATATTCTTTTCAGAGATTGCAAAGTCTATTACATCGACCGCAACGTAAATTATTGTGTGAACTATAGAGAAAGATTGTGCTTTCACTGAAACGCGAGAGTTACCGCTGTGATGCTACAAATCCGTTCGCTTGTAACTAAATGTGTGTGGATGCATTCTGTTTAGTGAAAGTCCGACAAAAAGGAAGTTCTTAGCTTGGAAGACTATGTAAAATTTCGCATAAAAATAAAAATTAAGAGATGTTCCTGAATCTGATGAATACGATAGAACATATTTGCAAAATAATATCAATTTTATGGATTATGTAGTAATATTTGTTAAGAACTCTGAAATAATTTATTTTTGTCTCTGTTATAGAATATTTATTTTATTAATCTTAATGTGTTTTATATGATAAATTTATTTGGTTGTGTGTGTGCGGTGTGCATATAAAAATACATGGAATAATATAAAATAAAATTGACGATTTCAACGTGCATTTTTAAGAATAGATGCAAAAGTGAACAAAAATTGATATAATTATAAAGAATATAGAGATTAATTAACGACTAAGTAACGTTAAGATACTAATGTATAAGTACATGTATCATCTAATACGTTAACATTATCCTGCATTGTCTTCAATAGAATCGACCTAGTTTTCACAGAAACGAGTAAGATTGCATTCGGGAATATAACGAACAGAATACGTAACAACAGATAAGATGATTGGTTTATTAATAATTGTTAACCTTGTTGCAGAAAATAGAACGCGTTATTTAAATGTATGTAAATTGTGACTGTTTAGCACAGTTTCTGTTGATAGTTCATTATCTTTGTATTTTTAAATGTACGCCGTGAATATTTTAATATAAAGAAGAAGATATATTGCACGTATACAAAGAGAGGGAGAGAGAGAGAGAGAAAGAGAGAGAAGAAAATGATCTACTAATACACTTTTGACAATAAAAATTATATTTATTTGTCAATTGATGAGAAAATTGCAACAGTTAAAAATTATTCTAAAATTCAAATTAGATTTATGAAACTTATGATATCATAGTATAAAATTAGAACATACAATTATTATAAATTATAAATAATTGTTTGGAATTCAGGAACTAGTTTAAGATGTGAATACGGATATTCCGAAAGCAATTTAATCGTAATGAATGTGTTTGTCACTAGAATTACGTCAAACTTCCGCCCACATTATCTTTATTAGAATCTCATTTGACAAGTTATTCTATTCACTTATCATGTGTATGCAATGTGTAAAATAATTGATATCATCAGATCATGTCAAAATTGTAAATATTCTGTTCTAAATTAATATTGTGTATGGTAAATCAACTGGTAAATCAACTTTTCTGGCCACGTCTGATAATTAGATTAATAAAATAATTTTGAAAATAATAGTTTCTTGAATTAAAAATCTCGCGGGTTTTATATATATATAGTCTTTAAATTAAATACTCAAAAATATGTGATTATTAATAATAAATATATGTAGCAGTAATCTTCATGCCATTATCATTAGCATTACCAATGTGTTACTAATTGTACATTAATTAAAATTAATTATCAAAATTATTGTTAAAAAATTAAAAAATTGATTGAATCGTAAACGCGAAGCACAATATTGTTATTCCAATTCCGACTGTTTTCATCTCTTTCACATTGTTAGATTTCTCTGCATCGTTTATGTCTGTCATCTGTGATAACGTTTGATAGTTGCCCGTTCGCGGAAGCATCGCGGTCTAGCGCTTCAACGTGAGCAACGGCACTATTTTCGCGATGCAAGTGTGTGTGATTTGAATACATTGTATCGCGGTTAAATGTTAGTGAGCGAATGTTATCTAAAGTAAGAACGTCCACAAGAAGAATGGCAGTGAGACATTATGCGCGTCAGTACACGGTGCAGTTAATCGACGAGAAAGTCACGGATGGAAATGTCAGCAGCGAAAACAGTGACGTGGAGGATTATTATCCATTGATACATCACAATATGAGCGGCGCGATAGTTGACGCGAATGCACGTGGACGAACGAAGGAACTCGGCTGGGACGAGACGGTAAGATTACTGCCTTCTAATGTTTCCTTCTCGCTTTTATAGCTTGAGCTTTGTTATGAGCAATAAGCCTCTGTGTTATCTCATAAAATGTAAAAATTGTTTCTAGAATTTTATTTATTCGCGACGAAGATCTTAGAATAATAATAAGAATATTTTCTACAAATTTGTTTATTTTTATAATCTCTATATAATTATATATGTCGTAATATCTTATAAGACGTATATAATTACGTAAAATTATGTATTTGTACGTTTTTAATTATATGCAGTTTGTAAAAGATAGTATTTTTTTCTTGTTTTTATCGCTTAATTATTGTGTTGAGTAATAAATTTCGCGAAGAGGAAAGAATGTAAATTTTCGTAATTGCAACTGTATAAACTTTGCAAAGATGAAGAAGTAAAATCATAACGCAATTATAATATTAAATTATTCGCAAAATAAGTGATTAATCTACATTTTATCATACGCGTTAAATTAAAAAAATTGCTTAACATCTGATCTTGTATTCTTGACATCAAGTAGTGATCGACATTTGCAGTATTGAAAATGGATATCTCGTTTTATCATGAAAAGTGGAGATATAAAATGTTACATTGAGAATATTTCAGTAAAAAATTTCAACTTATGTTGTAGCAATTCTTACTGTTATACTTTATTCTGCAATACAAAATTATTAACATCAAGAAAAAAATATTATGCAAAATACGATTTAAAAATCTTACATTCTCTAGTAAGGTTTATAGAAAGCTTGCACTTTCACATTACGTGAACGTTGTATGCATGATTTATTATAGTTTATATAGTGAGAAAAGCAGATGATGCTATTTGAAATCTGCTCATGAGCTTACATCTGCGCGCAGCTGATTACAGCAAGGTATCAAAAGATTAACCACATTCACACGTTATTAGGAGCTTAAAAGATCGCAAGCGATTTGGAAACCTCATTAAACGCGTCGAATTATGCTATTCGGCAGGATTCATCACCGCGTATTTCATTAAGAAGATAAATGACGTGTATTCATGCTCGTGACATGAATTCCCCCGTATGCCTGTAAATTAGCATTGAACGATACTTTGCATAGATGTTCGCTTATCGTAATACTATTATTTTGTGCAACTTTTTTATTTTTCTTGCATATTTCTTATACAATAAAAATAGTAAAAAGGGAGAGAGAGAGAGAGAAACTGTATTAAATACAGAATTACTCTTTTCCAAAAATTCTTCTCTTATTAAAATATTTATTAAAATTTTACTTCTTCTACTAAAATTATTTTTTGATAACTTACTGACTTAATTTTGCTTAATTAAATGTATTAGATGCTTGCCGTTAATAAGAAACAATTTCTCATAATTTAATCAATAATTAAAAAAAAATTATTCAGACAAATTTTTATGCTTGCAATAAAATAACAAATTTTTATTTAATTATAGATGAATATTCAATGTAAACAAAATTTTGACGTAAAAAATTTAATATTTTTCAATATATTTACTCAATTACTCATCTTATTTATCCAGTTTAAAGTCTGCTGGCAGCGCATCTGTGTAAATATTATGGCTGTGAGGATCGTTGTGACTTATTAGCATAATTATGTTTCATGCTAGTAACATGTCCTGTCGTTAAATGACTATGTAGTTGTGAAGAAGAATGGAAAATAGCAATCGGTGGTTTTTCCAGTAGTATTATTCTTTCATAAGTAAGTAATTTTTTTTCAAATAATACTAATCCATTACGCGCAATGTCTTAATGCGTTGGTAGAAATGAGCAAATACTGTGTCATTTTTTTAGAAATTTAATATAAGAGCGTTTGGAAAATTGCTTAAAAAAATATCCATCAAGTAAAGTATACCAGATGTTGCATATTTCCTAAATGAGACGCGATTCTGCGAATTTGCATACAAATTTCAAGATTCAAGAGTAGACATTTAACTATACATTTATTTAAAAGAAAATATTAGTCTATTTTTAGAATATAATGGCTTATCATGTAATATAATTTTCTGACCGATTCCACTCCGAATGCGATACGCAAAGATTTAAATTCTCCCGTCGATCATAAAATACGATCGATTCGCAACATCGTGCGATCTGATGTCGCGATACATCGGACCGAATAAATTCTAAGGGCCATTATTCGCTCGATAATATCCGTGTTTGATCACGCGGACGCGTGAGAGAATGCACGAAGCAAAGAGAGTATAAATCAGAAATATCCTATCGGACGATTTAGGAATGTTGGCTGTACGAGCGATTACAATTAATATAGAATGTTAGTCAAAATTTACGTGTAAAATCGGATTTACATCGTAAGCAATACTGTGGAACGTTAAATAACCATGTGAAACAAAACTCAACATCAGTCAAAAATTCTTTGAAAGTCTTCGAAGAAAATGTATAGAAGACATTAGACTTTTTTGAGACACATTAGGTACAATTCAAGTTAATTTAATGTAGAATTATAACAAAATAAATTTTATTTCAATAAATAAATATTAACTTTTCATTTTTTGGAAATATAATAAACAAAAATAAATTATTGTTGTGCAGAATTAAAAAAAAATTGCATTGCAATGACTGATTAATTAAACTGTTCTGTATTTTATGAATTGCAAAATTAGATAAATATATCTTTTGTAACTGTATTATGTTATCATACATTTATCACACGATGTATCAGGTATTGGAATATTCTTCTAGAGATAAGAGATGGCGCCACAACAATCATAACACACATAATATTATTGAAATTTGTTTAAAATCTCTCATTTTTAGCTATGTATATTTTCATATAGAGTGTGAAAAAATATTTAAATTAATATCTTTATTCACATGAAAAAAAAAAATAGATCTGAAGTTAACTTGGATTTAAGAAAAGTTTTATAAGTTTTAGCATAATTTTCTAATCAAAATAATTTTCAGTTTTCAATGTTAATTACAATTGACACTTTTACCTTGAAAATTACGCCTTAAATTAAAGTATAAAATTATTTTTAAAATTAACTGAGAAAGATTTTATTCACGATTGCATCCTCCAATTGTAACGTACACTACAATGTTAAAAGTTATTACAAGTAATTTCCATTTTTCTTGATATAGTCTTTAGGATCCGTAATTGAAAAAAACATCTGTATGTAATGCTTGTTGTTCGGAAAACGAAAGACATCGTCAAGTCGGTACACTTTACATTTAAATAATTCGATTCGCCGACGACGTTATTCCGCGTTGAAATGGCACAAAGTTAGCGATCTGCGTTCATCATCTGGTTTTACCAAATGAGATCTGCGGCACGTGGAATCCGATATTAGCAGCTTGAAGTGAACGCGAATGACCCGGGTGACCTCGTTAGTTTCAGAAGACCTATGGGGAATATTGGAATATTCGCACAATGCGCCAACTGATACCTGTCATGAAAATTGTGTGGGGTGAATATTTCTGTTCCGTGAAAGAGAAAGATCTTTCTTTCTTCAAGGGATGGTTTTATATCCAAACTAATGAAATGTAAACCTCAGTTTCCTAACTGTCAAGGAACATAGAACATTTCTTTCTCTAAAAATATTTGATTTTTAAGTAAAGTATGATAATATCTTTTAGTTATATATTTCATAAAATAACAAAGGATATACTTCTTTTTTTAACATTTCTTAACTTAAAAAAGTAAAAAAATATGACCATTGTCAGAAGGATATCATTATTTTGTAGACAGTTTTCTTTACAAACAAATGTCGCGTTCGAATCTTCAAAAAATCGCAATACAATGCTTAGTATCGGGTTCAGAGATAATCGATAAAAGTGTATGTAGAAGCAAAGGCACGTCAATCCGACGTCGGCGTCGCATAAACTGCAAGCTTTGCGGCTAAAAGAAGGAGATGCAGTACACCTAAGGGAACTATAAATCTAGCCTCATCGTCGTCGACGTCCCAGTCACGTGCCGCAGAGAGTTGCATCCCCTGCCTCACTATCCCTTGCCGCTCTTCCTTCTTTTTCCATTTACTACCGCCGATCGTCACCGTGTGCAATGCAGGTACTCGGCGCCGTTGGCTTTTCTTTGGACTTGTTGCGTTGCGGTCACCGTTGCACCTGCAGTTTATACCTGTTCCTTTGCTTGCATTTTCTTCTTCGCCATCGAGCTTTAGTTCGATATAGATAAAAAAATTGCTCAACTTAGATGCATATACAACTGAACGATACGTAGTAAGAACTTTTATGTATAGCTCAACAAGATACTAGTATATTCAAATAAAGAGCAAGAAACTTATATATTTTAGAAGCTTCTATAGGATACAGATTTTTCTTCAATTTTTTATCAGTTTTTCTTTATTCCAGTCAGGAGTTACATTGCACACGGTTGCGATCGGCAGTAGTAAATTGCCCCAAAACTGCATTGTGCGAGCAATTTCGTTTTTGCGAAATATTTTAAAGTCATATAATAATTTATATTATTTCTGATTAATATTTAAATTTCTTTTCATTGAATAAATTTTCAATTATAGCTGATTTGGTGATTTTTCGATTGTGTAGTGTAGAGTTCAAATTTCACAAAAGATAAATACTTTCTTATTTTATTTTGCTGATCATAATTATGCACGATATTAAAATATATACAGAAATATGTTTGAGCTATTTAAGATATTTTGCATATTAATTACGATATCTCCGCGGAACGCGTATTTCATTCATGTTGCACTTGTACACGTATCTGTTGCATGCTGTCTTGAGACCATTAATTTATGGTGACTGCAAGTGTAGCTGGTCTAACGGTCGAAACATAGTTTGGGTAAGATGTAACGCTGACACATTTGCGGCATGTAACCATTACGTCCATTTTGCAACAATAGGTCATGAGTTTATTGTTGTTTCGTAAGGGTAATAATGTTGCACTAACTTAGTGGTAATTTAAAACATAGAGATAACTCTGAGAATTTATATACTCAGAATTGCAGAAATGTACAATTTATTTCAAATGTGTCTGAATTTTTAACAACTTAACACCTGTTTTT